CTCAACCCATCGCATAATCAATCCAACAGGCTGAAAATCACGATTAAGAAGCGGTAACTCGGTGGGAAGCGCAAACACCGCACGAAGCGCTCGTTTCTGAGTTAAAGCGTCGTCGACTGCCGTAAGGGCTCGTCGGGCTGCAGGGGTCAATTTACGAAGGGCGTTTAGATCAGAGTCCCCCTTCAACAGTTCAAATAGCGGTTCTAACGTTTTGTTATCGATATCCAGTAGCGATGGGACCCAATTTATGTTCCCTATGAGAATCTGCACATCGTTTAGCGTTCAGACCTCCCTATGGATCGACACCTTCTGAGGTTCAATGCTTCGGTCTAAAATTTTCCAACCGAGGTATTTCCATGGCATACTAGTTTGAACTTTTTCAGGTGCAATTTGCAAATGATACAGTTCGAGGGTTAAACACAGCTCCTCTCTGAATGGTTCCAGATCCATCTGCCCAGCTATCAACATATCATCTAGATAATGATATATTAACAAGCGAGGGTTCTTTTTCCGAAAAGGTGTTAATGCTCTATCTACATATTTCTGGCATATAGTCGGAGAATTCTTCATTCCCTGTGGCAATACCGTCCATCGGAATCTGCGCATCGGCCCTCGTTTATCGCTCGAAGGCACTGAAAAAGCAAAACGGTCACTATCTTTGGGGTCAATGGGGATAGTAAAACAGCAATCTTTCAGATCTATCACCAAAATATTCCAGTCTTTATAGACCACGGTAGGTGATGGAAGTCCAGGTCGGAGAGGTCCCAGGTCTTCGAGTACTTCATCGATTTGGCGTAAATCATGTAACAGTCTCCATTTGCCTGACCTTTTTGGAATTACTAACACAGGTGTGTTGCAAGGGCCGGTAGATGGGCAAATGTGCCCTGCTTGTAGTTGTTCTTGAATAAGTCATTCTAGAATGGCAATCTTTTCTGCAGTAAGCGGTCACCGATTTACTCAAACATCAGCAGGTGGCTGAGCTGCGGGAGACTGTTGGTAAGCTAAAAGGTGTCATAGAAAC